AGAGACCTCACGACAATTGAAAAGGATTTGAGGTCCAAGTTTGACGCCAACCAGAGGATCGCCGAGATCGGAAAGATACTGGAAATCGCCAAGTTAAGGAGGAGATTCTTACCATCGTGGGACCTCACGAGGGGAGCAAGCGCCAAGAAGCAGACGACAATATTTAGGTACTACCTAAAAACATCCTCAATAATAGCTTCTCATCAAAAGATCCATGAATGCTCAGCTGGAACCCTAGGGATCCGCTTGTGATAATTGCTTACGTGCATCAAAAGAAAATCCATCGAGTGTTAATCGATAACGACAGTAGCACTGACATTCTTTACGAGCATTGTTTCTACCAACTCCCGACCCCTTGGAAAGAAGGTCTAAAACCCTCACCCAGGGGTCGACTCGTCAGGATCACGGGACATCATTTATGGCCGCTAGGCACCATAAACCTTCCACTCATCCTAGTCAGCCATGATAGAAAGGAAAAAACCACAAGGGCAATAGACTTCTTGGTAGTACGTCGCCCAGCCGATGATGATATGCTCCCCGGACGACCAACGCTCTTCCAGCTCCGGGCCATACCATCAACAATTCACGACACGGTGAAGTTTAGTACAAGCACAGGGTCAGCCATAATCATCGCCTGCAACCCATACACACAGCGCCACCAAGCCATCATTACATTGGAAACAACACACACTCCAAAGAAACGAAGAACGAGTCACCACATGAAGAAGCATCAGATCACGACGACTACCACATGAGAACAAGACGGCAAACGAAATAACGCCTTGATTAAAGAAAATCAGAGGGGGTGGGAGGACGCAGTAGCAGCAACACAACTACGCCAGAAAATCGCAAAGACAGTTAGCATGAACACTTACTGGGGTTGGACTTCTTTAATCTTACTTAGCACCATCCATCAATAAGAAACCACGGTGGGTGGCAGCAGGAGCATATCGGTCATCCCATCTCGAGCGAGGATGTGTCGCCTTACAACACCAAAAAGACCCCCATGCTCTAGCAAAAACACTGAACAAGCTCCATGAACCACACCTAAAGAGTAACACAACAAACGAATAAAATCTTGGGATGGACCCGTGCAAAGAACGGGAAAGTAAAGTAAGACGCTTGTCGACCCTCAGTGAGCCCCCTTTCGCCTACAAGACTAAAAACCAAAAGGTTCGGAGACATCGAGACACAGAGCAAGGAGTGACACGTACGGGAATATATCCCAAAGTCGAGTAAGCTCCCCAAGAGGAAATTATGAATGCCAACACAACATTGTTCGGCAAGCAAATCAAAAGAGAGTTCAACTCAAAACAAATCGCCAAGGCCAAGAAAACCTTCGATGGGTACAAATCGTGCTCACACCACCATCCATACGAGCCACTCCCAGTCAATTACCTAAATAATAGTGCATGAGGAGGCCTGAGAGCAGGGCCGGTCCAAAGGTTTTTAATGCCTCGGGAAAAAAGACTTAATGATGCCCCATGTTTAACAACTAATACATGCATGATATAATGATATAAATTACTTATAAATTTATTTAAAATGCATATATTTGTCCAAAAAATCCATAATGAGGAGCACCAACTAAAATGCCAATAAAAAGAAAGCTTAAAACATACTAAAGCTTAATACTTAGAATCTTCAGTTTAGAGATAATAGTTCCATTTCAAAGTTAGTGTTCAACCATTTTAAAATCAAATCGATAAGAGCAAAATACACTGTCAATAAAAAGAAATATTAAAACATACTAAAGCAAAATACATAGAATCTTTAGTTTAGAGATAATAATTCCTTTCAAAGATAGTGTTCAACCATTTTAAGCATTCCATTTCAAACTTAGAATCTTCAGTTTGATATCATTTGCATTTGTCTAATTTCATAAATGCTTCTAATATGCCTTTTAACAAAATCATAAACAAAAATTCTATTTCAAAGATATATCAAACAAAAAGATAATTCTAATATGCATTTATGAAATTATATAAATGAAAATGCAGTGCTTTATTATAATATTCTGATTGAAAATCAAACATAATTTCATCTTAAAGTCCCAAAAAGTCAATGTAGTTTACTAATCTTTTTAGCAAACAACTAGACTTAACATGTATAACATAATTTCACTTTTGCTGTAATGTCATTTTTTGATTATTTCAATTATCAACAAATTATTAGAATTGTGAATCGGATTATCAAAAGTCTATAAGGAGTATCAATAAATTAATTAGCACCACCACATCATTAAACTGAAGCAAAGTGAGAAAGAGCAAAAGTGAATATCAATAAATTATTAGAATTGTGAATCAGTTTATCAAAAATCTATAAGGAATATCAATAAATTAATTAGCACCACCACATCATTAAAGTGAGATACAAAGTGAAAGCCAAAAAAAAGTTGGATTAACACAAAAGGGCAGCTTCGTCTTTCCAAACAAAGGGCAAGCTTGGTCATATTCTCCTTGGGTAAATTCGACTTACAAGCAAAGGGCAAAAAATCCAACTGCAGGTTGAAGAACTTAGGAGGTTCGACCTTCGATTTTCAAGAAAAAATGGAAAATTCTCCCTTTTTTTGGATCTCTCCATAAAATTTAGAATGCGTTTAACAATTTTTGAGTAATCATTTATGCTAGAACAATAAAACTCTAGAAAGGAGGGCAAAAGTCTGAAAGAATAACGAGATTCGAGAACAAAGCTTGACCGAAGTAAACTTATTTCTTATAATTGAAAACTGAAACATATATATCAGTCAGAAAATTAAGCAAAGAAACAAAAAAGAGGCGACTTTCGGTGTTGTTTGCAAAAAAAAAAGTGTAAAAAACAAACCTAATCCTTGACCCTCAGTTTGAAAGTCCAAAGAAAGAATCAGAATACCTCCCCTCTTTATGAAAGAAAGCATCAAAATACCTGCCCTCTTTATGAAAGAAATAACATGAAATTAGCATGTGTGTTTTTTGCTTGGAAGAAAATGTTCGATCCCTGACTCCTCGGTATATAAAAGATAGATTCAGAAAACCTCACTCCTCGGTAGTTCTCCCAGTGGGTTAGTCTCCTCGTCTTCTTCAAAGAGGCATGAGTATTTTAGGCTTTTAGCTAGTCGAGGAATATTGCCACTTCTTACTAGTTTCACGTTTCGGATCGCGCACCCTTCCTTTTGGACTACTTTTATGGATGAAATTATGGGCTGAGTGACATATACCTTTAAGAGTTGGAAAAAATATGATGCCCTGTCCAATATTGCGGCCCTAGGCAGTGGCCCATTTCGCCCGACCCTTGGGCCGGCCCTGCCTGAGAGTTGTGTTAAGGCGAATGCAGTTAGGAAAAGAAAAACACTCACCCCCAGAAAAGAACCAGGAAGACAGAACCGAGGTGCGAGAGGATCTGATAATCGTCTTCAGGAGGACAACTCGGCCAGGAAGGCTAAGCCCCAACACACACAGAAACACGGTCAAACCCCAAGGAAGCCCGCCCGGGGAATATCTAGGGTGCTAGGGTACAGACGCCATATGACCACCCCCATTGGAAAAGTGCCTTACAACCTGACAAAAGACACAACAACAATGTCACCACTTAGGGTTGTGAGCATGTCGTTGTGAACGCCAAACTTTGGTGATAACACCAACAAGACTAAAAAATGTTCGGACATGAGCAGACTCAACAAGAAGGATTCCGCCAGGGAGTGTACGAGTAGGAATGTAAATGCACATCAATGGGGAGTTCATGCCCCAAGAACCCAAGGTGAAGGATCCACTCATGCGACTTGGGGCTCACGTAGTCTGCACCACCACCCCTAAAGCGAGCGGAAAAGCCTAGACAAAGTACATCTGAGCCAAGGGTAATGTGATCAAACTCCGAATGGATAATCACATCCTAGTGGGCCAGCCCAAGAGATAGGCCTTGGCCTATGTTATGATGTAGTCATCTCTCTTTCTTTACTCTCCAAACAATGTAGCTGTTTCCAAAACACTATCAATAAAGTGAAGGAAGTTGACTATAAAAAAACAATTAGAATGTTTTTCACTATTCAATCTTGATATCATTCACATAAAAGGTTGTGCACGTTTACCAAATGATAACAAGGATTTATCATCCACGTCATTTGAGCGAAACCGTTGTGAGAATGCAACCATAGGCTTCAAGGCTCATAACCTTTCCTTAAAACGTGTCAGTTAAGTCAAAAGAGCCACAACTCCTGACCGTAGCATAAATAAAGGCTTCAAAGGATCATAACCTTTCCCTTGAAACAAATAGCACCTAAGTCCCCAAGCCTCGAGGTGACGATCTTGGCATGACTTAGACGACTGGGCTCAGAGTACGAACCTCCGAGAACCAGGGCTTAGAACAAAGTCCCAAAAGGGTGATCAATAAACCTTAGCTAAAAAGGACACTCTAACAAAGAAAATTCGGCAAAATACCGTAATCTAAAAACAACGGTCTAAGACCTAAAGAAGGGACTAATCTCACGCCTATAGCGTAAGCTCCCGAGATAAGACCAAAAGACCTTAGACGAATACGATTCCTAAGGTCGTAAGCATGACAAATCCAAAAAGTGTGGCCAAGTCACCAACAGACAAATGCCCATCAGGAAGTATAACCCAACCCTCCACAAGGCAAGGTAGACATATTCTGGGTCAACCCCCGTAGCCAAAGCAAGCTCGGGGAAGAATCACCCCAGAAATGGAGGATAGGGGGGTAAAAGCACCACGATGGCCAACATAAACCACCTAGGATAACGAGAAAAGGCATAGCAAATGACCTATGGCATACATATCATTCAAAAGAGAAAGAGAGAGAGAGAAAGAGAGAGAGAGAGAGAGAGAGAGAGAGAGAGAGAGAGAACAAACAAAAAAAGTGTTCCATTTGCCGGACAGACCCCAAACTTAAGGAAACAGCCACACAGGGCCCCAAACAAATTCAAAATTCATAGATACAGACTGTTCCATAAACACCAAAGCAGTACAAACATTGTCCCAAATACTGGGAAGCAAGGAAGAGAGCAGGAGTTACATACCAGGATGAGTGGAGGAAGGCCCGACCCCAAAAGTGCTACCCTCAGGATGTTTTCCTTCAGCATCAGGGTCGCTGCACAACTGGCGAAGAACCTCCATGTCGAGCTCGCCAAGGCGGAAGTAGGAGGCAAAATCCATCTCCAGAAAAAACTTCACCTTAGCATGCATCGACTGGGTGTGTTCCAGAAGGGCGCTTGGTTCACCAGGTATGAACTTTCTTGTGGCAATATGCTCCTTAATCACCTGTTTCCCACCCTCCACCCTAAAAGCCATGCATGCTGCCTTCATACGCCTAACGCCCAAAGAAAATTCAGCACTCTCAACCACTTTGTCCACAACACGGACAACACCCTTCCACAAGATCCATGACACGTCATCCTACATTGTCTTCCTCCTCGTTTTCTCGGCCTCTAACTGGCTCCACCCTATCTCCACCGGAGTCGCCAACGCTTTCTTCTCCTCCATCAAAGTTTAGATCTGATGAGTCAAACGCTCCACTGCCCCATCCAAAGTTTCCACTTGCTCCTCCAAAGACGCTTTCTCCCCAACCAGAAGGTCATAACGCTCCCTGAATGCATTCTTTTCCTTCTCCACCTGCAGCAGCTTCGCCCTCAATCATCCCGCTCGGTCCTAATAGAAGAAAGTTCACCAAAATCCGAGCTAATCTGGCATAAACGCCGAGTAGCAGCAACCAAATAAGGAGCGACATTAGCTACCACATACTGAAGGATATTAGACATGTGAGAATCAGAGAGAAGCTCCAAAGATTCAATAGTAGCATAGGGAAAGGAATGGCAACCCCACTCATACGCAACAAAAAATCCGTGTAAGGAGGGACTCTCGAGTAAGTCCCCATTCTGGCATGTAAATACCAGGGGTCGCTGAAGGAGCGAAAGAAGAACCTGCAACAGCACCATCCTTCATCAAAAGGAAAGTTGGATCAGGAGAACTTGGGAGATATCATCCGAAACAAGCCCAAAAACACCCTCCGCTGGGGTAGGAGCATCTCCGGGCTCCTTCTTGGGTTCACGAGGCTGTTTTATCGCCCCTTCATTTGTTCCCTCCAACAGTTTTGATGGGTCATCATCGGAAATATTTACAACTACGTCGAACTCCCCTAACAGGAAGTTCATGTTTCGCCTCTTATGGAAGTGCCGACTAATCGATCTAGCATCGATGCCTTTCATAAGTGGGGAGTCCATCCAAGCCAACCGCCGCTTAGAGGTCGTACGGACCTCTCTAGTCACCAACTCAGTCCATTGATCGTCGTCATTATCGGAGGGCAAAGGATCATCGCGAGAAGCTCCCCCAACAAGATCGTCAACGAAAACCTAGTCAGCCTGGGACCTGGATTCTTGCGTAAGGGCAATTGTAAGCCAATAAAGGGCTAGGGAATGGTCATCACTGACCGTTAGAGGAAGTACCTCCACCAAGGGCACTTCCCGGTGTTGATAGCTACCCTAGAACTGGCCCCTCAAGACCATCTCTAAAGGGATAACTCTCTCGCGAACTGCAACAGAAACACAAAACAACATAATTAGGGAGATTGGAAAAATCATCGACCCTAACACATAAAGATATACACACAAAAGAAATCAAAAGTAAAGGGGGGGAAGGAGAGGCACTCACCATCCTTCTCAACGAAGAACTGTTGCATCGCTCCACGCGCTCTCCAGGTGACACTCATACCAACGGCGGCCAGCATGCAGTCTTCCTAGTCATCCCTATTAAAATAAATGGTCTTCAGCGCGTTGGCTACAGTTTCGCTGCTCCCCAGAGGGCAGGTATCCGATCAGTGAAGTTGGATTTACGAGGATAGCCATAGCCAACCAAATCACGGTTCACCCATAACCATTTATCTTTCCAATTCTTTTTGGGGGACTTCTGATTTATGATGAATGTGTGCATGCCCGCCGCTGAGAGAATGTGTGCACGTCGGACTGGGTCGATGAGTTGAAGAAATACTTAAAATCCCAAAACTAGGGAAGCACACCTAAGGCTCGACACGCCATCTTAAAGCCAACTATCTTGTTAACAATGTTGGGAGTTAGATCGTTGACAGAGAATCCATACTGGCGCATGATGTAGTCAAAGAAATCATTTGTCGATATCCAGAGCCCCGCTTCAAAGATCGGTATGGGGACTCTGACCTTGCCTTCCGGCAGCCGAGTTATAATAGCCCCCTTTCAAGGGTACTCCACCCCATGCTCGGGAAGGAAACCAAACCTGACCTACAGACTTGAAAACTTGCTTAGAGAGGGCATAATCCTGGTATTCGGAGCGGTCAGTGCCCACTGATGAGCAAAAACAAGACGGAGAGAGAAAGAAAAAGCAATAAGAAGGAAGAAATAGCAGATTTAAAGGAAACCGATGCGGATAAGGAAGGTTTTAAATACAGGCGGAAAATTTGAACCATTGCAATGATGAAACCGTCTTCGCAGCTGACTCCGTCACATCATTGGACATTAAAGCCATCTCCACCGAAGACGTGCCTTGATCTAAGCTAGAACAACCTAGCTACCCAAGGCTAACACTGGATTTACTAGCTTATGGGACTTGTTAACGTATCCCTCTAAGAATACGTCAAATATAATGGGACAGTTATCAAAAGGACGACCTAGCTAACGGCCGCTACTCAGCTTAAGTGCTAGGCCTGGGGCCTCGCCCTCGAGGCCTTATACTTAGGCCTTGATGTTATAATGCCAAGGTCCAACTCAGAACAATTGGCTCTGGTCCATAACAATCCAAAACATTACCAAGCACTCCCCAGAGCGACAATTGCAACGCTCAGAGCGTTGCTCTTTGGTGGTTTTGCACCAATAGCAGATAACCGCTAGTGGTACACGATCCGCCAATAGGACGCCTCCATGTCCTGATGGTCCAAACAAGACAAAAGGTATTGTCGGAGACATTCTCCCTCAACGGCAAGTATAAAAGAGATCCTTCTTCTCCAGAAGAAGGGATCGTCTCTATCCCTATCTCAATCTAAGCCTTAATTCTCTCATACAACTTTTGACTAGACCGTCAGAGTCTTGTTCTGCGACCCCCTCCCGGACGACGACTAACGTCGTCTCTTTCTTTGATGTAATTCTCAAGCTTAACTCAGGAGAAATCACCTCAAATGGCAATAAGCTCGAAGACATATCACAACAAGTATCAAGTGGATCGCCCATGTATCTTGGCCTTCAGCACAAAGCAGGACTGCCTCAACCCCACAACACAATAACTTGTCGACATATACAACTATAACCAATAGCCAACAAGTATAGGTAATCATACATATCTACCAGTATAACATATCACCAGCGAATATAGGTAATCATATAGATCTACCACTCTAACGTATAACCAACATAGCATCATCCTATATACCACGATACATAACTTAATGGGTCGACATTGGTGCCTTCGACCCACAAGTACAGTGAGGAAAACTCACCTCAAAGTCTGAAGGGTAGCTGAATCTATCACAGCTCCCAACACTGTCTCTACAAGTCACATATACATAAAACAGTGACCAAACCTCAATCCACTACTCAAATTACTCTATTTGACCTAAAGTAAAACTTGGTCAACGGTCAAAGGTTAAAATCCACACTCTAAGGTTGCTCAGCCAGTCGTCACGTCGTGACCATCTATTGGCCATGTCATGACCTAGAAAGACAAGGAAATCGGGATTGTTCCAATCTCACGTCATGAGCCATAAGTTCTCATGTTGTGAGAAACGCTCTAAACATCCTAATGTAATAAGCTCTTAATCCTTTTAGACAAGCAACCAAAAATTCCAGATTGTCTTATCTACTTTACAAAATCATAAAGATCGTGGCTTTTTGGACATGCATATCCAATGCATGTCCCAAACACAAGCTACGACACAAAAAGGAAGAAACGACATTAGGAGCTCATGCAAGAGTCTCAAAATCTAACCATACTTCAGATCCAACACTTATATCATCAAGGGGGCACTGGAGATCCATAAAGTTGGCAACTTTATGGACCCCAAACACTAAATCAACCTAGACATGAAATATAATGCATAAAAACTTAGGTCTAAGCTTATTAACGCATAAAGCATTGAACTTGGAAACTCACAAGGGTCCAGAAGGTGTGAAGATGAATGATGGTTAGGCTTGAATGCTGAGATGGTGTACTAGATGCTCTTCCTCTTCCCTAGCTTTTCTAAAATCACCACAAATGAGCTCAAAATCAACTATATGGTGCTAGGGTTTCAAGGAGAAGTATTAGGAGGTGATGAAGGTTAAGGGTGGGCTAACCCTAGCTCTCACTTCCTTTAAATACAGGATAAATCCCCTAAAATTAGGGTTTGCCTCTTAATCAAGTCTCACATCGTGATCCATAAGGGCTCACGTCGTGAGTCTCAGAGGTATGTATGTTTCTTCCAATTGGGGTCACGTCGTGACACCTAAGTGCTCACATCATGACCGGGGTTTAAACTTAAGAATTTAATAAGAAATTCCAAAATGGTGCTTACCTGGAACTGGGTGTTACAAATCTCCCCCACTTGAATCATATTTCATCCTCGAAGTCTGGTGTTGTGAATAAATATGGGTAATGTTCACGCATGTCCACCTCGAGTTCCGACGTCCACTCAAAACCCCTTCCAATGCTGCCACTGGACTTTGACCAAAGATACCACCTTGTTGTGCAAGGCCTTTGTCTTCTTATCCAAAACAGCCACCGGCCTCTCCATATAATTCATGCGCTCATCGACTTGAATGTCATCCATGGGAACTACCAATGAATCTTCAACCACACACTTCTAAAAGTGAGAAACATGGAAGTTGTTGTGAATCTGGCTAAGCTCCTCAGGCACATCCAATCGGTAGGCTACCTTGCCTACCCTGGCCACTTGTGACAACCCGAAAGATTTGGATCAAGCAAGGTCTAAATTGTAACCCTATTACAATAAAACCTTGAAAACCAAAAAAGGGCATAAGTGAATGTATATGGGTATATACACTTTGGAAATCATGTATAAGATAACCTCTTGAAAGTAAACAAGATTATCAAGGCAAAAATAGACAAATAAATTGGAATAGGAATCATGAATTTAGAATATTGTTTATTGGTATTTAGCCTAGTATCCCACCCACCCTAGAACATTTGAAAGCCATGAGTACAATGACTTATAAGCTAACATATATGTATATAAATATGTGTAAATAAGCTTTGTGGAACCATGATTGAAATGCACTTTGACAAGTCAACAAGATAGCACCCAAAAAGCATTTCCTTTATGAATTAAGGCCTAGAACTCCACTATGGCG